TTTGTATATGGTTCAGTATGGTGTTTCGTCGCTTTTTATTAATTAGAGACCCAAATAAAACAAATATTTGTGTTTTTCAAATAAATTTTTGTTCGTCTCCTTTATAATAAATGAATTTATCTATTTCTAAATAAAAATTGAAAGTGTCTGTAGAAGTAATTTTTAAAAATATTCTTTTTGTGGTAAACTTTTAATACTTATTACTATAATCTAGACATGTTAATCCTTAAATATACTTATATATTTAAGGATTAACATGTCTAGATTATAGTAATGTCCTTAAATATACTTATATATTTAAGGATTGGGCCAAAATATACTTGTGGCCCAAAACTCAATGACTTCTTCCAATGTGGCCCAGAGGAACAAAAAGGTTGGGCACCCCTGATTTAGAGGGACAGTACATGCCGGCAGTCATATTGTATTTTAACCTGGTCATTATAAAGTGAAGAATACAATGGATTGTGAAAACATCAAATTTGCATTAGGAATGTGAAAATACCAAAAAGTATACATAGCATATATAATTAAAAATATATACAATATATTATTTATTTTTTCAGCTGTAAAAATCTTGTTTTAATTGAATCTTGTTCGAATGTCGTGTTATGAAAGTGATTTGCTATCCACTTCAAGAAGTGGTTAATATGGCTTGAATTGTTACATTTATAACATCATTTATGATCTAAGTGACTTATAAAAATCAATACAGGGATTTGTCTGCTCTGTAGTTATCAAGTAGGTGTAACTTTTCAAAAATTATTTTTTCTTATTCACTAACTGATTTATTAAAAATTACACTTTAATGACCACTAAATGGTTAAAATGGTTATGACAACACTATTTGTTTGGTGAAAGTTCAAAGGCTGTGTTATGAAGATGATTCACCGACCACTTTAAAATGTGAGAAGATATTTGGTTTTCTCGCATTTATGACATCATTTATGCTCTTAAGTTTTTTTTTTTTTACTATTATATTACGGTTCTTGTCAAATGAAACTTTGGAAAAGATTATAGTTTTTGAGTATCATGAGCTTAATTTTAAAAATAAGACAGAAGTTTAATAACATTAATGTGTATGATGACAAATGGTGATTGACAACTTAATCAGATTAAACTTATCTAACATATAGAACGTTGTTTGATGTTTTATAACCTGTCCTCCTTCCCTATTTCTATTTTAAGCTAGTCTTTATTTGACACTTATTTTCAAAATTCATAATCTAAAAAAGTATTTGTCTATTTGAACAGATTATTTGTTTTCGTTTTAAAATATTTCATACATAACTAATTCTTTACAAATATTGAAGGCAGGACATTGTTTTCGTAAGGTTGATTATAAACGACAGCATCTATTATTTAGAAGTGAATATAACAGATGTCTTATTTGAAGGGTCTGGGGATTGTAAAAATATCCATTAAGTAGAGGTGCCCCACTATTTGGAAGTGTCCATTAATGGATGTTTCACTATCTGTCTAATAAAACTTTATATATCATTTCTTATAACCAATTATGAATTTCATCTTTACTTATTTGGGAATGTTTTCTGTGCCTCCCTGAACTAGCTGTATTGTATTTC